TCTGCTGACCCCGCCCCTCTCTTCCGTGGGGTGACGCGCAGTTCTCTGAGAGACTGTGAAGTTTAGCCGCATTCATCGTGAAACTTGCTAACTAGCACGTTATTAGGAAAGGCGATTTGCAAAGATTCATAAAAAAACCTTACACTCACTTCTTCTGGAGGTGAAGCTGGATCACGAATGATTCGCACAAAGATAGACGCATTTAGATAGATCGGGGGTGCATTCCCTGCAAAAACAAACGTAATCCACTGCATCTTCAGCGGCTCAGATGCCGGGAGTAAATGACGACTGCTATGTTCTTTATTACATCCAACAACAGAACACCTCAATCGCTTAGGAGTCATTCTTGTCTACATCTGCTCCAGCGGTGAAACAATGGCGGTCTGATGACAGCTCACTCAGGGCGGAGCTGTTATAAAACCAAATACTGACGCCACTGTCAATCAACCATCGTAGGAGGGGCCTGGGTCTGTGTCACGTCACACAGACAGGCATCTGAGATCGGCTCGATTTGAGAAAGGGGTAAAGATTTTAGTAGATTTAAAAAAAAACACTCACACTGCCATATGTTCAAACAACATATAAAAGTGAATTTCGCATCCGATGACCCCTTTAAAAAAAATTTAAAAAATTTTTCAATTGTTCTAATTTTGTTAAATAAAAATAAATGTATTTATATTATTTATAAATTATTATTATTGTTATTATTATTTTGGTAGAAACCATGGTTACCAAGGTCAAGTTTTGTTAGGCCAATTAAATTAAGTTGTTTTAAATTTGTTATAAATAAAGTTGTTATAAATAAAAATAAAAATATTATTATTATTATTATGAATAAATGTTATAATATGCTATTTATGAATCAATAATTGTATTGCTTTCAAAATCTCTCTGTTGTTTTCATTTTTAAATAACATTATAAATAAAAATAACTATATTTATGAATGAATTAATATTATTGTTGTTGTTATGGTATTTTGGCAGAAACTATGGTTAACAAGGTACATTTTTGTTAGGCCTTTTGCCTTTAAATTTGATAATAAAAGTATACAAATATGTATTTATTCAATATTATTTATAATGCTCTCAAAAATCTCTGTTTATTTTCGTAATGAAATAACATTCAAATTAAGGTATTTTAATTTAGTTAATAAAATTCTAATTAAAATGAATTTAGGTATATTATTATTATTATTATTGTTGTGTTTTGACAGAAACTATGGTTACCATGGTAAACCTTTGTTTGAATTTGTGTTGCCTTAAAATTACCATAGGGGGTGATGTGTAGCTTAAAAGTGAATATTCAGTCTTGGTCATAGTTACCAGAGCAAATATCACCATATACAATCTCTGATCAATCCGTGACTCTGACCTTTCCTTTCTGAAGTTTTTTCATCTCTTCCACCGTGGTGAAGTAGTTCACGGCAGCATATTCAATGACCGACAGGAAAACAAAGAGGAAACTGGCCCAAAGGTAAATGTCCACCGCCTTCACATAAGACACCTGAGGCATTGACGCCGAGACGCCTGTTATTATAGTAGACATGGTCAACACGGTTGTGATTCCTGTAGCAGATCAAAAGAAACAGAAAGAGAGAGGGCAGAGTCATGAATAAGAAGCGGGTTCATGGGAAACAAAGATAACATGTTAAGAGGAAGTTCGTAAGTTCAAGCATAAATATTTGCATCTATTGCATCTCACACAAGAGTCCCCAGCAGATTATGGACGGTCAAATTGGGTGTAAAAGGAAATGAAAGTATGAGGAAATGCATGACATTAAATGTTCTATAAATTAGTCACTGTTTATTCCAAATTCTCACACACAGTGTAGGTTGCAACACTTCTTTATAGTTCTTCTTTAGAAAACCTACAGGAAGACACACATTGTGTGGACTGCTTCTTCTATTGTGAAGATGCCGGGAGTAAATGACGACTGCTATGTTCTTTATTACATCCAACAACAGAACACCTCAATCGCTTAGGAGTCATTCTTGTCTACATCTGCTCCAGCGGTGAAACAATGGCGGTCTGATGACAGCTCACTCAGGGCGGAGCTGTTATAAAACCAAATACTGACGCCACTGTCAATCAACCATCGTAGGAGGGGCCTGGGTCTGTGTCACGTCACACAGACAGGCATCTGAGAACAGCTTGATATGATAAAGGGGTAATGATTTTAGGAGATTACAAAAAAAACACTGGGTGAATTTTTACTATTATAGGGTGGTTGTGTACACACACTGCCAACACACATTTATGTTCAAACAACATATAAAAGTGAATTTCGCATCCGATGACCCCTTTAAAAAAAAATTTTTTTTTAATTCAATTGTTCTAATTTTGTTAAATAAAAATAAATGTATTTATATTATTTATAAATTATTATTATTGTTATTATTATTTTGGTAGAAACCATGGTTACCAAGGTCAAGTTTTGTTAGGCCAATTAAATTAAGTTGTTTTAAATTTGTTATAAATAAAGTTGTTATAAATAAAAATAAAAATATTATTATTATTATTATGAATAAATGTTATAATATGCTATTTATGAATCAATAATTGTATTGCTTTCAAAATCTCTCTGTTGTTTTCATTTTTAAATAACATTATAAATAAAAATAACTATATTTATGAATGAATTAATATTATTGTTGTTGTTATGGTATTTTGGCAGAAACTATGGTTAACAAGGTACATTTTTGTTAGGCCTTTTGCCTTTAAATTTGATAATAAAAGTATACAAATATGTATTTATTCAATATTATTTATAATGCTCTCAAAAATCTCTGTTTATTTTCGTAATGAAATAACATTCAAATTAAGGTATTTTAATTTAGTTAATAAAATTCTAATTAAAATGAATTTAGGTATATTATTATTATTATTATTGTTGTGTTTTGACAGAAACTATGGTTACCATGGTAAACCTTTGTTTGAATTTGTGTTGCCTTAAAATTACCATAGGGGGTGATGTGTAGCTTAAAAGTGAATATTCAGTCTTGGTCATAGTTACCAGAGCAAATATCACCATATACAATCTCTGATCAATCCGTGACTCTGACCTTTCCTTTCTGAAGTTTTTTCATCTCTTCCACCGTGGTGAAGTAGTTCACGGCAGCATATTCAATGACCGACAGGAAAACAAAGAGGAAACTGGCCCAAAGGTAAATGTCCACCGCCTTCACATAAGACACCTGAGGCATTGACGCCGAGACGCCTGTTATTATAGTAGACATGGTCAACACGGTTGTGATTCCTGTAGCAGATCAAAAGAAACAGAAAGAGAGAGGGCAGAGTCATGAATAAGAAGCGGGTTCATGGGAAACAAAGATAACATGTTAAGAGGAAGTTCGTAAGTTCAAGCATAAATATTTGCATCTATTGCATCTCACACAAGAGTCCCCAGCAGATTATGGACGGTCAAATTGGGTGTAAAAGGAAATGAAAGTATGAGGAAATGCATGACATTAAATGTTCTATAAATTAGTCACTGTTTATTCCAAATTCTCACACACAGTGTAGGTTGCAACACTTCTTTATAGTTCTTCTTTAGAAAACCTACAGGAAGACACACATTGTGTGGACTGCTTCTTCTATTGTGACTCTCACTGGGCTTGTGCTATGTTGTCATCGACGTGTATGAAAAGAGCAACTTCCTGGCTGGGTGTCTAACACCTGCTGGCCTGACTATCAAGGTATTTTTGAGGTAATTTACTTCCGTTTTCTCTATACCGGTTTGTGCTTGTTCCTGGAGAGTGTAATAACCAGTGAGAACAAAGTAAACACACACAGCTCACTGTTACCAACCCACCTCCTGAGGCGAAACTTCCTGAAACAGAAACTTCCTGTCACAGGTCTAACGTTAAGATCTGACAGGTTAAATAGAACAAATGAACAGAATATAATTTCTAAACATATTTCTAGATTCTAAAATGAGGATGTTTCCTCGAGAGGTTTACCTAGAGAGACACGGGCCGGTACGGCTCTCCTGTCGATCCAGAAGGACACCCAGGAGAGCATGACCATTAGCATTGTGGGAAAGTATGTCTGCAGCATGAAGAAGAATATGTGTCTCCTGAGGATGAAGTTTATGTACAGCCTGTTATACCAGCCTGAGAGAAACAGAGAGTACGGGACATTTACAACAGATATGAAGACAATAATTAAAGAAAGAACAATATTAAACTTTATTACAAATGAAAAAGAAAAAGAAAAAAATTCTCAGAATACACATGTCCCCATGAATTACTGTTGATATATTTAACAGGATAATGAACTTAGATACATCATTTTATACATATATAAATATTCAGAAAATTAATATTTATTTTCAATTTTATTTTAATAGTTTCCATCAATCTGTTATTGGCACAAATCTTCTACCATAACATTTAATTAAATTTAATTTAATTTACAATTCAGAAGTTTGGGATCAGTAAGATTTTTAAATGTTTTTGTATTAAGCCTCTTCTGCTCACTAAGGCTGCATTTATTTTATGAAAAATACAGTAACAACAGTAACATTGCAAAACATTATTGCAATTTAAAAATACTGTATTTTCAGCATTATTACTCCAGTCTTCAGTGTCACACGATCCTTCAGAAATCATTCTAATATGCTGATTTGGTGCTCAAAACCATTTCTTATTATTATCAATGTTGAAAACAGTTGTGCCGCTTAATATTTTTGTGGAAACCATGATGCATTGAATGTTTGATTAAGAGCATTTATTTGAAATAGATTTTATTTAACAATGTAAATGTCTTTACTGTCACTTTTTGTTCTTTTGTCCATTCCACACATTAGGAAAAGCTTTGAAGAATGTTCACGCTGCTCTTTTGACATATAATGAAAGAATATAGTGATTGACTAGTACAAAAATCACCACAAAAGTGGTCCATACAACTTGTGTTATTTTAGTATTATTTGTATAGTATTTGTTAATATTATCTGAATTAGCTTTTACTTTAATATTCGGTTTTTATTTTTAGTTTAAGTTTTACTATTTTTGTAATGTCCTTTAATTAGTTTTTAAAATATATATTTCTATATAGGATTAATGAATTTTTAATTCAGTTTTAGTCATTTTAGTATTTTAACTTTAGCTTATTTATATTAGATATAGTCCCAAGACAACATTTATCATTTTTGTTTACATTTTTTAAGTTTTAGGTTTTAATGAAATATTTATATTTTATTTCAGCTTTATTTTGGCTACCACAAACAATTTTTACTAGTTTTATTTAAAGGGATAGTTCACCCAAAAATGAAAATTACCCCATGATTTACTCACCTTCAAGCCATCCTAGATGTATATGACATTCTTTTTTCAGACGAATACAATCGGAGTTATATTAAAAAACATCCTGTCTCTTCCAAGCTTTATAATGGGAGTGGATGGTATTTTGAAGTCCAAAAAATTGAACCAATCCATTATAAAAGAAGTCCACACGGCTCCGGGGGGTTAATAAAGGCCTTCTGAAGCACCGCGATGCGTTTGTGTAAGAAAAATATCCATATTTACAACTTTATAAACCTTAATCTCTAACTTCCGCTAACTGTTGTACACGCGTTCACGAGAGAGTGGTGTCCAGCGGATGACGTAGTACGTAGGCAAACGCGGTGACGAAAGCGGAAGTGACGAACGTGGAATCGCAGAGGAGAGAGCAAAACAAAACACCGGTCACGAATTAGTAGTACAAAACGAGGATTTGTAAAGAAAAATGTCGGAGGATTTCAATATAAGCCAAGAGGACACTGGTTTTCCTTTGCTGTAAACAAAACTTGTTTCTCGCGAGACTAGCATGTTTTCACCGGAGCTTTTGCTACCCCTACGTCCTTCGTCATCCGCTGGACTCCACTCTCTCGTGAACACACGTACGACAGTTAGCGGAAGCTAGAGATTAAGGTTTATAAAGTTGTAAATATGGATATTTTTCTTACACAAACGCATCGTGTCGCTTCAGAAGGCCTTTATTAACCCCCCGGAGCCGTGTGGACTTCTTTTATAATGGATTGGTTAAATTTTTTGGACTTCAAATTTTGGGGATTGTATTCGTCTGAAAGAAGAAAGTCATATACATCTAGGAAGGGTTGAGGGTAAGTAAATCATGGGGTAATTTTCCTTTTTGGGTGAACTAACCCTTTAACTGACTTGTGACTTATATTCAAAGCCTTCTGAAAGAAACAATAGCTTTGTTTCGGAAACAGGCCATTGTTATAAAATTTGAATAAATGTACAGTTTAGTCAGGTTTGACGCTAATGATACTAAATGCCAAGAAGAATGTGTTTTCACTGAAAATCTATGTACATTTTGTGTGATATGAACCACTTTTTAAAGTTGACTGGTCCTGGTAACTGTATACACTACCATTAAAAGTTTGGGGTTGGTTTTTGGTGTCACATGATCCTTCAGAAATGATTATGCTAATCACTAATATGCTCATTTGGTGCTCAAGAAATGTTATTATTATAAATGTGGAAAACTATTGTGCTCTTTAGTATTTTTGTTGAAACCATGATACATTTTTTGAGGACTCTTTGATGAATATAAAGTTCAAAACTTTCATTTAAAATAGAAATCTTTTGACAAGGCTTTACTGGTACATTTTCTCCAATTAATATGTCCTTATTGAATAAAAAAAGTGTTAATTTTCTTCAATGGAGTCAGATTTCAGTTAAACCTAAATTGAATAACTCTGTGCGCTGAAAAGACCGAACACGCAAGTGACCTTCATCCACCACTGGATACCTTCCTTGGGCCAAGTGTGTGGACCTTACAAAGGTGAGTAAACGATGACAGAATTTGTCATTTTTGGGTGAACTATCCCTTAAACACAACATTAGGCTACATTTAGGATATGTTTACAGGTAGTGCTTTGACTAATTATTTCCTTGTACTCTGTTGATAGTACTTACTGATGAGTGTACATGCACACACGCAGACGGTCATACTCACAACTCTCCAGCTCTAGAGAGCAGTTCTGTGTGTCTAGAGGAAACCTGCTGAAGCCCATAGAGCAGAGAGCCGTCACTGTGATTCTGCAATTCACAATTCAGTACAGCCTTAATAGATCACTTACAACGAGACCTTTAAAATCGTGACATGTGATATTGAGCTTAGCAAAACATCAAATCAAGGAAACAATTCAGGTGAATTGAACTGAAAACTGATCCTGCACATACTGTAAACTGGCTTAGGCACACCTGACCATGCACACATGTCTACACTTGCAGCGCATGCTGCTAATTCTTAGACAAAATTCTTGTCCAACTATAGTTCAGAAGTATTTAAACGAAAACCACACCTCATTTGTCAGTTAAAGTATATGGGAATTTGGTCACACAATTTAATCTGTATGGCATTTTATTCCCCCATGGAACAAAAAATTTATATTCTGATCAGTGTTATCATTAACTAAACTAAAACTATTAAAACATTTTGTTAATTAAAATAAACCTGAAATAAAGTAGAAATATTACATTTAATTTAATGCTTGAATTGTTGCCTTGGCAATTAACTGAAATAAACATAAATAAAAACTACTTGAAAACATTAAAATAAATAAATAAATAACTAAAATTAAAATATAGTAGTTCAAAATAAAAAAGCCAATTCAAAATAATATCTGTAATAGTATAAATAATAATTAATTAACACTTTTTCTGATAGAAAGATTACAGATTTTTCTATACAATGACAGTTCTTAGTTGTGTTGGCAATTAAAAAACAAAACAAAACCTAGAACTGGTATGTACAGCTTATAGGCCATATTTCAAATCTTCTGAAACAATACAATACTATAGCTTTGTTTGATGAGTAGACTAAAATGTAAATCGCTATTCACTCATAATCCTCCCCTCCATTGAACAGTTGACCAATGCAACATGATCCCAAAACAAAAGTTGAGTAATATTCATGAACCAACTCAGGTTCATTGGAAAGAATCAGCCCAAAAGAACAGTCATAAATCAGTCCGATCTGGTTCTCAAGTTCAACTCACTGAACAAATCATTCAGTCCACCGTATGAACTGATTCATCTGGTTCACTAAATAGAATCAGCTCAAAATTATGACTGAATAATGACTGAGATTTCAGTCTGTTTTTTGCACTGAAGCTACTATATGACTTCATAAGACTTTTTTTCCCTCAATTTTGGAGGCTAAGTTATTATGAACTGTTGTGGTATGGAAAAAACCTAAGGGAAATGTTTTTTGAAACATCAAATTGTGTGTTCCACAGAAGAAAGAAAGTCATACAGGTTTGGAACGACAGTAAGTGTTGACAGAATTTGTAGATTTGGATGAACTCTCCTTTCATGACAAACTTTACTTCAAAGTAAAGAGCTGAAAACATCTTATTTCCTTTCCTGTGAAATCTTAAAACAGCGAAATGCCTCAGGGAAACTGCTGGTTTCACGGCTGTTGTAAAAACATCTGGTTTCAGGAAAGCGGCTTCATGTGGTACCTGACGCTGTAGAGAATGTTTCCATCTGGATAGACTCTGAGCATGATGTTTTCCATGGTGGTGTCGTGAATGAAAGAACGCTTGGAGTGAACAAAGAAGACGTCAGGCACCCAGATCTTTTTCACCAGCCGAGCGTCAAAAGTTCGGCTTTTGTTATTGCTGGAGGGGAAGGCCAGTCTGTCGTCCTGCCAGTAATGCCTAAGGTACAATGTCATGGTGAAGTCCTATGCCCACAAAAGACATGAAAAAGACTTTGTCAGTTTGCATAAGCCACTTCTTTATACTTTAAATGTCACTGTGTATATATGATTACATTTGTTTTCACTGCATAATTCTCATAGTTCCATTTTTGCAACTTAGGATAAGGAAAAATACATAAAAAAATTATATAAAAATAAATTAATGACACTTGAGTACATACAGATACGTATGTATGCCGACTGAACATGTCTATGGGTTCAGCATGTGCTTTTCTGCACACATTCATAGTCTTTGCTGTTTTAACCTTTGCCCTCTGCCTCAGTCGTGAATCTAATCGTTTTAAATAGTCGAGGATTTAAGCTTGATGGATGACTAGCACTGGGAGTTGAGGGTGTGCAGATCTAACTGACAGGTTAAAGGTGAAAAGTAATTTATAAAAGAGCAAACACTCACCATATTGACCTCTGAAATGCTGTCAATGCTCTCCACCTGCACATCGATGCCCACTGGAATAGCCGAACCTGGACTCAGTGTCACAGATGGAAAAGAAACAGAATTGGGAGAACATGACAAATAAAATAAAATAAATCTCTTCAATATCTCAGTTGTTTCTCTTAGATAGTAATGAGTTCAAATGGTGACCTCGCAGTCTTCCGATTCTTCTTTTTCAGCTAAGAAAAATAGTCTTTGCTCGAGTTTCAGTCAGTTTCTCTCAATACTGTGCTCAGATATACTAAAGTCAGTTTAAACTCAAGCATTTACATTCAGACCTATTTGAAATCAAATGATCTGAGCTTTGTTGTTCAGATTAACCTTTTACCTCTATAGGTTTGGCAACCAAAACTAAGCTCCAGAATCGGAGTCATAGAGCAAACCATAAACGACTGATTTTCATGACATTCGGTTTCATTAACGGTTCATGTGCGTGCATTCTTCTGCTGATGATGTACAGGACACCTTACTTAAATACTTTGAAAGTGTTGCCTGCTATTCAGCACGAAACATACGACGCAACGAGTGAAGGCTGATTCGCATCGCAAGCTCTTATGAGCTAGTTTTTGTTAGTGAATCAAAAACATACTGCGCAACCAGTGAAGTCTGATTTCTGATCTAAATGTTCCTGTCCTTTCCAGTGAATCATTTATGACTCAGATGGAGTAGTTTCTCAGTTAATCTGACTCATTTACTGAGTCATTAATTGGTCATGTCCAGCTTCCAGAAAGCCTTATGTTAAGGCAGGAAAGACCTAAATCTGTGTAGCTATGGACTTGTTCAAATGACAAAATATAGTTAAAGATTAGTGCTGTCAAACGATTAATCACGATTAATCGCATCCAAAATAAAAGTTTTGGTTTACATAATATATACGGTGTTTATTTATTATGTATATATAAATACACACACACACACACAGTATATATTTTGAAAATATTTACATGTATATACATTTATATTATTATATTTTATATTATAATTAAATATATTTAATATATGAACATAACATATTTTTCTTAAATATGTACATGCATGTGTTTGTATTTATATATACATAATAAATATACACAGTACACACTCATATATTGTGTAAACAAAAACGTTTATTTGGGATGTGATTAATCGCGATTAATCGTTTGACAGCACTATTAAAGATACACATTATGAGTTTTGTCAGTGGTATTTTTAAAATTAAGAATATGTTACCACATTTGTGTTCCATGTTGTTTTTTATCTATTGTTGAAATGATCCCACATGCCAACACAACTGCGTTACTGTTTTCCAAATATTTCTTCCTCAAATTCAAAAGACTCATTAATGTAACCTTGAAGAAAAAAATACATTCCTTACAATGTAGCCTATGTAACGCTAAACTATCAAATCACCAACTATTTACTTCTAAGATCTATCAGTGGAAGCAGCAATCAAATCAAACGAGTCAATATTTGTGAAAGAAGGACTATATGCAATTTGCTTTGTCATAACAGAATGAGATGACAAACATATGTTTAACTATCATAGTTGTGTCTATCTGCATTAAGCACGGCTGCTTTTGTCGGCTGTTTTTTTCAAGGGAATCACAGACACATCAGTCTCTCAAGTCACAGCTGCATCACGTTAAAAAAAACACATGCAGACCAGCTGCAATCTCTCTGAATAGAACAGAAGAATTTCAAGTGTCTGATTCTTATCCATTATTGAATCTATTGAAAACATCTCAAAATCTGACTTTACCACAGAACCTTAAAACTGCTATGAAAAATTCCAGCGTTAGTCTGAAAACTAAACTCTCTATTACTATAATATTTCAAGAATTGTGTAAAAAAAAAAAAAAATTTAATTGACTATCATTGACTAACATAAAGAAATGACATTTAAAGTCAAAAAGATGTCTCACGACTGTGTCATCAACCACATAAAATCTGAAAAGCGATGTTAAGCTTCCTACAAACAGAGACTTAACTCAGTGCACATGACTCGGTGTGATTATCAGCCTCTCACTGTTTTCAGAGAACCATCATGCTCCCCTAATCTGGACTGAAATAAAACTAAACCTCAGTGTTCACATGTAGGGATTAACAGACAAAATAACAAAAAAGTACTATGGTACTACCCCCATTTTTGGACATATACCATGTTATTATTAAAAAAGCACCTTGGAATACAATGCTAAACAGTGGGTATATCTGTAGTTGACAAATAACATGGACATGAACATATATGACAACACAGAGTCATTGCTTCACAAATGCATTCACCTTAATGGACCCGAAATCGCATATAGAACAGAAAGTCTCAGACAAGAAGATTATATGATTGAAAAAACAGCATACCACTCTACGTTCTTATTTTAAAAACAGCGACCTTTGGCTAGCCTGTAAGATTTAGCTACATTCTCAGGCTTCCCAGAGAGCCGCTGGGATTATAATGCAGATTACTGTGCATAAAACACATCTGTCCTCAGTGTATTGTCTGCTTGGTACTACTACCAATCTGGGTCAGAGTGTTTTGTTTTTTTTCTGATTTGGACACATCGCATATGACATTCTAACCTACATTTCTGACAATCTCGGCTGCAGAGTCACATTCTGGTCATTTGGCCTACGGTGACTTTTAAAGCTCTTGATCTTGAGTTCAGCCAGTGTAACAGAACACAGTGCTTAAGCCTGTTCTTTGAGTTCTCTCAATGGACATATACTAGCAAATAACAGCAGCAAGTATGCATGATATCTCTATATCAGCACAGCATGTTTCATACAAAGTAAGCAGCTTGAAAGCATGCGAGAATGAGATTTTCAGACAATATAGTGTTCTGTATAATATTATTTTATAGAAAAGATCTATATATTTATATAGATTTTCATCTGACATTTATGGTAATTTCCTGCTTCTTACATAATAGTGATAATTTTAATTGCTGGCATAGTGTGAAGTGTGTGATCTCCATCAGAAAAACGCATCACGATTCCCATCAGCAGATAATCACATCGTTTCTCTTTTTTTTCCCTCTCTCTATCTCCTGAAATTATCCCAGCTGTCCTTGCAGTGCCTCTCTGTGCTGTATTAGTGCTGTTGTTGAATGTCACACCATGTATTCGTGCCAACTGTGCGGAATGAGCTTGCATTCCCTGGCAATATCATTCAAATCAACCATCAAGACACCAAGATAACACATGATGCTTGAAATAAATGAATGCAACAGGAATGTATTTTGAGAATACAACCAAAAGTAATTTATAAGTGGCTTTTGAATGGAAAGATTTCCTCACCTCCAAAACCAGGCCTCATGGCGAAGTCGTGATCTTCAATTCGCAAGAGCTGCTCTGATTTAATCAGCAGAGATTTGGTGCTGTCAGACTTCTTCGTTTTAAAGTCTATTCGTCTGTTTGAAAAGAGACAAAATGGGGATTTTTTTTTTTAAATAATGTAACAGACATATACAATAACATACACAAAGTTAAGTTTGGGTTAAAAAATAGCACTGACCAAAGTTAGAAATTTGTAAGAGTGGCTTGTTTAGAGAAATTAATTTCAACTTGAGTATGCAGCAATCCAGAAAGCAGTTTTCGGTAATACTTAAAGCCTTTATATATAATGCACTACACAAATATTTTAAATGCATTATTATGCCTTGTAATGCACCTTATAAACTCATGAATAATTGTAACCACAGTAATAATACATTATAATACTCTGCTCATTGCTTTTAGAAAGTATCATTTCAATCATTTACACTTTTAGACCGTATCAAGTATACATTAAAACACATAACAAACAGCCAATGTGTTACAAGGAATCTGCAAATATTACAATGCATTTTAACTTGGGTTATTTATGAAAAGTTATAATGCATTTTAACATACATTATAAATCTTTATAATGCATTATACATAAAGTGTTAAACAGTTTAACACTCTCTTGAGACACCTTTCTAATCAAAAGCCAGCAATACAATCAAACTCTGACTAAATATGCTTCTTAATAAAATATTTTGCTTCCTATTTTGATTTGACCTAGGTCATTTCCAGGTGCCAATTCTGTACTAAATGAGTCCCACTGACTTACTAATACAATTAATAGGATAAACATTCACATCATTTCATAGATTTAACTCTGTCCAACCTTTTTGATATCATATTTCAGGGACTGTAAGTTTCTCTTTGTCAGTATTTTAATATACTTATAATAAGTTCACACTTATATTGACCACACCAAACTCAATAGTTCAACCCCAATATACTATTGCAATAATGTAGCACTTTAAGACTAAGTTTAGGGATAAGATTTTATTTTATTATATTTAATTTAATTTAATTTAATTTAATTAAAAAATGTGTAAAAATAGGGCACATTGTACTGTATTAATATAAAGAAATTTTCCAGATTCATTAAATAAATAAATAAATATAGTTTTTTAGTTTTTATTTATTTATGCAATTCATAGAAAAAAATGATAATACTTTTCTGAAACTCTCTGCTTCCAATGGCACTGTTACCTGAGAATGACCTCCCTCTGGATCAGTACTAAAAGACTAAATAGCTACCCAGTGCTGTTTTTGTTGTTTACATCACATACCCAGCTCTAATTACAGAGTTCCTTTATCCACAATTAATTACACCTTCAAACACACACACAATCCAACAACTCCAAAGTATGGGTCACAACACAGCACAGGGCTTCAAATAAATCCTTACACATCAATCCACAAGGCCGAGACCACAATAAATAAAACCAAGAGTGTAAACAGGCTGACATGGGTATTGAAATGAAACAGAATGGAGCTGATTGATTATATACAAAGCAACGTTCCAACTACCAGAGCATTCTGCAAATGCATTTAGGAGCAAGCAAAAGCATCCTCACCCTCCATGTTTGTGCCGTGTGTTTTCGCCCAGGTAGACGTCCTTGTGCCTGCGCTGGTTTTGCGTGTTGCTTCCTTTGAGAAGGACGACGGGCACCAGCCAGGCCAGGCACATCAGCCTCAGTACAGAGAGAGCAAAGTTCATGACCGAGTCCTGAGCTCCAGGATCTGATGCGGGGAGAAATAGAGATACGTTGTGGGATCAGTCTAACTCTCTGGAGTTCCTTACCCAGCATCCTTTCCATCTCGTAGTGCCGGCCATTCCGACACAGAAAAGGCCCTTAGATCCACACCGGGCAGCAAAAGTTACACGGTCCCATTTGAAATCCTTTGAGCTCTGCTTTTGTGCATGTGTGTTAGTGTGTATACGGCTGGCGGTCTGCGTTTCCCACCCTGCCTAAAAGCCTGTCTGCTTTTCTGACCATGTCCCCCTCCCTCCGATTAAAAGCAAATATCAATTTATTTCTATAATGACAAAGGAATGATGTTAATTCCTCTCTAATCTTCTTACATGCAGCTGCTGAAATCTTTCAGTAACCTATAAACTCCACGGGGAAGGGGAAGGGGAGGTGCATCACAACCAGAGCTAACTCTACCATCAGGTTGGCTAAAAAAAGCAACTAGCCCTCTTTTTTGTGAATAGTATTTGAGAATTTTTCCTTCAGAATCAAGTACATTGCTGAGACAGACAGCTTGATCAACTGGCTTTGTATCTCTGACAGAATAAACCTATGCTAATATGCTAACATGTTGATCATGCTAATATGCTGATTTGGTGCTCGAAAACATTTCTTATTATTATCAGTGTTAAAAATGGTATTGTTCTGTGTAATATTGTTAAGCTAAGTAAGTAAGATGTTACAGAATCATTTACTGATCTTCCCATGTCTGTCAACGCAAACTTAGGACATTGTTATTAGTCTTATATGTGTTTACTGAGTCTTCTACATTCTGAATAAACTCTAGCTGTAAATGAAGCATAACATGGCAGTGGGTTTTCAGCGATTGTATGTGTCTGTACAGCTAAATAGGTGTCATGCTGCTATTAGCTATTGATGTGTAGATTCACGTCAGGCTAATCTGTGAGACAGATCTTAACTAGCTTCATGGAGGATTACAGTCATGGAGAACATCAAGAGATGATGGAGAGATGAAAAGGGAGGGATAGAGGGAGACAGAACATATATATTGTTGTGTAAATACCTGTATGACAACTTTGAGAAGCATTAAAAAGTCTGTGTAAATAATCATAAAGGTCATGTCAGATGCATCAAGTCAAGTCTAGAGTTAGACTACAGAGTCTATAGATTGTATAGTATAGATTCTATAGTATTCTGATTTATTGAATAAAAGACAACACAGATACATTTAATAAGGTAATTACAAAAAATGGCTCTTTAAAGGAAAAGTTAATGTCTTCTCTTTAATGAAACATTAATTTACAGCACACACACACACACACACACACACACAGCTTTCAATCGTGGAAATGACTGCTGAAAAAGACATTTTAAACATTTCTGGGAAAAAAACAAATTCACTTTTAATAATGCTATAAGGCTACAATTACAGTAAACAATAGTTTATATAGCAAACAATGGTTAATTTTTTTCTTGATTGAAAAATATGCATCATAAAAATGTTCAAGTGATATTTATCTTATTAGGGCCCGAGCACCGATGGTGTGAGGACCCTATTGGAATTGCTCCGTTTCTTATTATTAGGGCCCGAGCACCGATGGTGTGAGGACCCTATTGGAATTGCTCCGTTTCTTATTATTAGGGCCCGAGCACCGATGGTGTGAGGACCCTATTGGAATTGCTCCGTTTCTTATTATTAGGGCCCGAGCACCGATGGTGTGAGGACCCTATTGGAATTGCTCCGTTTCTTATTATTAGTAAGGGTAATTTCCACAATCACATTTCATCCTAGTTTATTAACACAAATTCTATAAACATCCCCTTGTGGCCAAATACTGTATGACAGGAGAGCTAACAGCCTACTGTTTTGATCACAACATTTTGAAGTAGATGATATAGCTATTAGTATTCTGATATTTGAACATAAATGTCTACTAAATGAATGTTTGCACTGTAATTTCAAGGAATCGTTTATTTTTCTGTCTCTAGTCTACATTAAAAATGAGGGGGTGTATAATGTATATCTAAAACACACCTTATCTAAACACATCTTATATCTTATATTTTTACAACAATATGGTGTGATGGTGTGAAAAAAAAAATGAATGAGACAAATCACATCGCTCAATATGGCGGCTTTAAGGATTCAAGGGATTCAAATGAGACCATAGTGAGGTTTGACAAATGTTATTGAAACAAACACAGAGATTTCGATCGTTCACATACATAACTTTATTTGCATATCTGGAAAGCAGCGGCTTGGGGGCGTGGCCAAGTGAATGGACTTGCTCCAACAAGAATTTGGATTGAATTTAAAGTAAGGTTTTTTAGGATGCAAAACATATGTAAACATCATACAACGTGTGCAATATTAATTAAATATATATATATATATATATATATATTAAGTTTTCCTTGACTTAAGAAAGCCTAATCAAAGTAGTTCAAAGTAGTTTTAAAAGGTTGAAGTTTAAATGTTTTAAGGCCATACAGTACAGTCTATCATAAAAATAGATAGATAGATAGATAGATAGATAGACAGACAGATAGACATAAAGCATACGTCATTACATTTAAACTTGAAATTAACAACAATAACTCATGGATATATAACTCAACAATAACAAATGGATCAGATTGCATCAGTTGCAAAATGACATAGCAAACAGTCATTCTTTGGATATAAAAACCAAATCACATTTGTGTGCAGTGTGATTGAAGCCAAGAGGAATGTATTTACTGCCATGTCATCAAACACATTGACCACTTCTGCTGCAGCCTGCAGGCACTCGATCAGCTCAGGCAAGAAAAGCACTTCCTCACATCTCAAGTCTGTGCATTTGGTGAACCTGTAAGGTTGGTATGACAACTTGCACCTGTCAAAGTCTGTAAATACTGCAAGTTTAAACTCCTTCTAAGCATTATGCATCTGTTGGAGCTGAGTGTGGAATGTCAAGCAGAATAATGTACTGGGCCATCTACAGGGCTCATTTCAGGAAGGAAACGACTGTTTCGTGTTCTGACGTCATAAGAACCTTTACTAACCATCAGGGTTACTGCAATCCACCACTAGTTAAGTACACATGCTTACCACACTCTTGGCAAATTGGGCAAGAAGGTTGCAAGGACATTTGAAGCATGTCTATATTTAGCAACCCCTCAACAAAGAGCAAGGTGGTGATAAAAGACCTAGAGCTTCAGAAAGGTTGGCCTGGAGGGATGTGGGAAGGTTATGGTGAAGTAGCCGGAGTACGTGGTAGGCGTTAAAGGGTTTCAGCTGCCATTTAGTGACTCATGATCTATGAAAGAGGCGTGGAAACCTGTCTACCCACTCTCTCTCTCTCTCTCTTTCTTGCTCCTTCTCTGTCATTCATACCCACAGCAAGTTCACAGCACAGCAGAGCCAATATTCAAAAGTCACCTAGGAACTTTCTCTGTTTACTTTCTTTTTTTGTTTTTATATTCACAAAGACTCTCATTCAGGTTGAACCAAGAGCTACTTCTTTTTTTTTCTTTTTTTTTTGCCCGTCTGTGAAGCAGTAAAGAGGAACAGGGTCTGATTACGTTCCTGAGAGAGACTCTTGAAGACTCATCTTCTCAGCAGTTTTCTTTCTGTCTACTCTTCTTGTTTAGTCCCACACGTCTTACTTTGCTTCAATACTTTGTTGTGAGGGAGAATGTCAAGGACCCACTATGGCGCTTGTGTTGTTTTATGGATTTTTTCCTTAGTGGCGTGTAAGGTTCCAGGTAAGATGAACTTTTATTGTTATTTTTGACATTTTTTTGTGAAAGTGAAATAACTTTTTGCACATTTTTTTTATTTGAAGGAATACCACTTTCCTTTAACAAATCAAACAATTCAAAGTTCTTAATCGCTCATCAATTTATTTTTACTTTGATTTATTTGACTTTTTGCTCTCGATCTGCTTTGATTTCAGTACCTGCCACTTTCAGCTAGGCCACTTTTTATCAATTCATGTTTGTACGTCACAGTTGCCAGGCTGAAAAGATGCCAGAAAAGACTTGCAGTATGTTATGAATATACCTTATGTAATTCAACTGGATGGAATAAAGTATCCGTGTTGGCAAGATCATCCACAGACATCTGTTTTCTAGTTATTAGGTAGTTCCTCCTGAGGAATTCTGAGTTTCTGAATTCTGAATTTCAGAGCTGGAAAAGTGTTATTTGTTACCCATCATGATTGCTTTAGATGTAAATTATAATAGGTTCAGTAGGTAGTGTTATTTTAGTATTATTTATTAATGAGCTTTTTATATTTTCAGTTTCCATTTGAATTTTAGTTTAACTTTTTATTTTATTTTTTTATTGTTTTTTCAAATGTTTCTATTAATTTTCACATCCGTTTTAATAATTTTAGTACTTCAGCTTAAACTTGTGCATTTCAGTTGCCAAAGCAAGATTTAGAATTCTGAAGTTTTTCATCTAAAATTTATATAGTTTTATTTTAACTTTATTTCAATTACTAAAATTTTAATAGTTTTATTTATATTTTAGTTAACAATAACAAGAAATCAAAGCACACACTTTGTGTGTGCTTTGATTTCTTTGATTTTTTTTATTTCTTTGATTTTTAACTAAAATATAAATAAAACTATTACAATAAATAAAACTATTATCATTTTTTTTATTTCTGAACCTGCCAGTTTCAAATGTGCATAATTCCAGCAACAGATCATCGGTCAAACTGAAAGGATGCCAGGAAAGATGAATGCTCGTTATAAATATACCTTATTATGTAATTAAAGTGGATGCTACTCTTAGATCTCAAGAGGAGGCAGAATTTCAGCTAATGAGTTTTTGAGCCCCTCCTTGTTATAGAGTCTGCGAGTGAAGGAGATGAGTGAGTCTGCTAGAATTCACTCTGGCCAGTTATTTGTGACTTACACAGTCACTGTGAATTTTTCAACAAACCTCTCTAAGGACTCTCTGTAATAGACCTAGACTAGGAAAGGAAAGTGTTGCATGTAAGACATCAAGATAAGATAAGAAACAGTATTAAAACCTCAACTGTTCCAGTACACTATAACTGTTGCATTGAGGATTTTGGCACACTTAAAGATGTGATCAACGCTGATCAATCTGTAGGTAAAGATATAGTCTGGTGCAATCTCAGACTTGCAATGCATACAAAGCCACGACCATGTCACAACATAAAGGTCAACGCCGTCATGCAATCTGCCGCTGCTCTATTTATTTTGTATTTATAGCCAAACAATCTTCTGATAAGGTAAGTGTGGTGAACTCTAAACAATCACAGTCATAAGTGGTCATTACTGATAAATGTCCTCTTACAACTGTTCCAGTACACTATAACTGTTGCATTGAGGATTTTGGCACACTTAAAGATGTGATCAACGCTGATCAATCTGTAGATAAAGATATAGTCTGGTGCAATCTCAGACTTGCAATGCATACAAAGCCACGACCGTGTCACAACATAAAGGTCAACGCCATCATGCAATCTGCCGCTGCTCTATTTATTTTGTATTTATAGCCAAACAATCTTCTGATAAGGTAAGTGTGGTGAACTCTAAACAATCACAGTCATAAGTGGTCATTACTGATAAATGTCCTCTTACAGCACTGGTCTCAAACTCAATTCCTGGAGGGCCACAGCTCTGCACAGTTTAGCTCCAACCCTAATCAAACACACCTGATCCAGCTAATCAAGCTCTTCAGGATCTCTAGAAACTTCTAAGCAGGTGTGATTTGGAGCTGGTTGGAGCTAAACTCTGCAGAGCTGTGGCCCTCCAGGAATTGAGTTTGAGACCACTGTCTTAGAGTGATGTTATGGGTGAACACACAATTGTAAGGCACGACAGCAAATAGGGGCAGCAGAACTAACTTTTTCTGAGAAAAAAGGTGGCATACATACTGGTGTATATATGTATGCTTTGTACACATGCACACCCACGCAGCATGTGGTTAGGAAGCTGGGGGTATACATATGCATATGACAAACAATGTTGCCAACGCAGCGATTTTGTTACTAGATTTACATTAAAATCTACCTGCCTTTAGCAACTGCCCCTGAAAGTTAGTATAACCTACAGGCCAGCTGTCTTATCAGCAAAATGTTAAAAAGAACATGTTTCAGTACTAAGGGGCTTATGGTTTTTAAATGGCAAATTTGCAGCCATCTCAGTGTATGATCATTGTATTAGATCAGAGAACTTCAGGGGAAATGATATAACTAAAATAATTTGTTTGCAAATGTTGTTTTATTTGGTGTTTTGTTATATAATGCTAATGCATTCATGTATTTTATTTTTTAAGAAGTTAAAAGTTATAACCTGATCTGCCTAAGGTCTATAAATCATTTTCGTACATGCAGGAACATCTGAAAGCTTTTTTGTTGATTTGCAGAGGTTCGTGTGACCTGCATCTTCTCTAAGGACTGTATTCTTCCCTGTTCTTTCACGCCCACTAATGGTGATGTGAAGATCCAGTGGTTCCAGCAGGAGGCGCTCATATTCAGTTTACAGCCGGCGGGACAGAGGTTCAACCATGGCAACATGTCTCTGTTCAGCGACAGCGTCTCTGAGGGAAACGCATCACTGCTTGTGAAACAAGTGGATACGAGGAGTAAAGGACGCTACAAATGTGTGGTCAACAATGTAACTGTGACATATGTTGTTGCAACAGTGGAAGGTTTGTTTCTTGGAGGAATACTTTGATTTATTTTAAATGTATTATTTGTAATTAGTAGTTGTTGGCGAGAGGTTAGCATAGTTAAAGATTTTGATTCATCCCACACATTTTTTATGGTGTGAATCGGTTCACTAAAAAGATTCATTCAGATTCGTTGTATGATTTTTTTTAGAGTGAGTGCCGAGTGTTTTGTGTATAATGAGTGAGTCATCGATTCAAGTCGACCCGAACAGGTTAATTTGTTAAAATTTTCTCAGCTTAGTTTATTTACGTAGGCTACAATATGCCCCAGGTCATTCGAGGGGCGTCGCAAGACTCTATTGAAACACAAGCCCCAGTATAATATTATTGGTAAATCCTTATGTCAGTGGAGATTACCTGATAGTAGTTTTCCCTGATAATATTCATGTCGCGCGCGTGTGTTTTCTATCGCGAATGAATCACTCTTTTGAATCAAACGGATTTCCAAAAAGGTTCGCGATTCAGTTTGATTCATTCGGACAGTTCACTCACGCTCTGAATCGTCTTTACATTTTTATTTTTGTATTTTTATTATCATTTGTTGCTGAATTGCGAATGCTTTTAGTGTAACTGTGACATATGTTGTTGCAACAGTGGAAGGTTTGTTTCTTGGAGGAATACTTTGATTTATTTTAAATGTATTATTTGTAATTAGTAGTTGTTGGCGAGAGGTTAGCATAGTTAAAGATTTTGATTCATCCCACACATTTTTTATGGTGTGAATCAGTTCACTAAAAAGATTCATTCAGATTCGTTGTATGATTTTTTAGAGTGAGTGCCGAGTGTTTTTGTGTATAATGAGTGAGTCATCGATTCAAGTCGACCCGAACAGGTTAATTTGTTAAAATGTTCTCAGCTTCGTTTATTTACGTAGGCTACAATATGCCCCAGTTCATTCGAGGGGCGTCGCAAGACTCTATTGAAACACAAGCCCCAGTATAATATTATTGGTAAATCCTTATGTCAGTGGAGATTACCTGATAGTAGTTTTCCCTGATAATATTCATGTCGCGCGCGTGTGTGATTTCTATCGCGAATGAATCACTCTTTTGAATCAAACGGATTTCCAAAAAGGTTCGCGATTCAGTTTGATTCATTCGGACAGTTCACTCACGCTCTGAATCGTCTTTACATTTTTATTTTTGTATTTTTATTATCATTTGTTGCTGAATTGCGAATGCTTTTAGCTTCTTTTATTTAGTTAGCTGGCAGTTTTTTTTTCTTTATCTGAAGCACAAAAAATCTGCAGTGATTTTCTTTTTAAAAAGAGCAATATCTGTTAGATAGTTGTTTTTTTTTAGGAAAGTTGATTAGCACTCTTAAGCTAATAAAACCTGATAAAATTAGGAAATATTTAATGGCCGAGTCTGATCTGACAATGGCGGAATTTTTACTAATTAATTATTAATAATTTAATTAAATCATTTTTTTTACAATTAAATTTAACATTTGTAATTTTTAAACTATTACTTTTGTAGATTATTTAATTGTAGAACAAATCTTTATCTATCTATCTATCTATCTATCTATTTATCTGTCTGTCTATCTATCTATCTATCTATCTATCTATCATTTATTTTTCATTTGATGTCTTCCAGCTCCCATCAGGACAGTCTCCATTGACATCAATCCCTCTGGGCTGATTCAGTGCTCTACTAAAGACGTCTATCCAGCACCGCTGGTGCAGTGGAGCACAGAACCCAGGTTAAGCCATGCCCTGCAGCCCATCACCCGCATGGCTCCTGGCGGAAAGAGTCTCTTTACAGTAGAGAGCATCCTAAAACAGCAAAACAACAGCCTTGATTATATTTATGTGTGTAACATCACCTCTAAATACGGCACGCACACACGGACAGCTTCTTTACAGCTGCAAGGTAAAACTTGATCAAGTTATAATGTGCAAAAAAGTGATATATGCTGCGGTATGTTTTAAAGGTGATAGTACCAATGTTTTCTCATGTACATCTCAGAAATTACCGGCTCTGAAGGGAAAGACCTGGTTATTCCATGTAAGGCTCCTAAGAAACTTCAGTCCTTCTCTCTCGTCTGGACTTTTACGACAGCAAACAAAACCACAGATATCCTCACGTACGACAGCCAGAATGTCAAGGACCCACTATGGCGCTTGTGTTGTTTTATGGATTTTTTCCTTAGTGGCGTGTAAGGTTCCAGGTAAGATGAACTTTTATTGTTATTTTTGACATTTTTTTGTGAAAGTGAAATAACTTTTTGCACATTTTTTTTATTTGAAGGAATACCACTTTCCTTTAACAAATCAAACAATTCAAAGTTCTTAATCGCTCATCAATTTATTTTTACTTTGATTTATTTGACTTTTTGCTCTCGATCTGCTTTGATTTCAGTACCTGCCACTTTCAGCTAGGCCACTTTTTATCAATTCATGTTTGTACGTCACAGTTGCCAGGCTGAAAAGATGCCAGAAAAGACTTGCAGTATGTTATGAATATACCTTATGTAATTCAACTGGATGGAATAAAGTATCCGTGTTGGCAAGATCATCCACAGACATCTGTTTTCTAGTTATTAGGTAGTTCCTCCTGAGGAATTCTGAGTTTCTGAATTCTGAATTTCAGAGCTGGAAAAGTGTTATTTGTTACCCATCATGATTGCTTTAGATGTAAATTATAATAGGTTCAGTAGGTAGTGTTATTTTAGTATTATTTATTAATGAGCTTTTTATATTTTCAGTTTCCATTTGAATTTTAGTTTAACTTTTTATTTTATTTTTTTATTGTTTTTTCAAATGTTTCTATTAATTTTCACATCCGTTTTAATAATTTTAGTACTTCAGCTTAAACTTGTGCATTTCAGTTGCCAAAGCAAGATTTAGAATTCTGAAGTTTTTCATCTAAAATGTATATAGTTTTATTTTAACTTTATTTCAATTACTAAAATTTTAATAGTTTTATTTATATTTTAGTTAACAATAACAAGAAATCAAAGCACACACTTTGTGTGTGCTTTGATTTCTTTGATTTTTTTTATTTCTTTGATTTTTAACTAAAATATAAATAAAACTATTACAATAAATAAAACTATTATCATTTTTTTTATTTCTGAACCTGTCAGTTTCAAATGTGCATAATTCCAGCAACAGATCATCGGTCAAACTGAAAGGATGCCAGGAAAGATGAATGCTCGTTATAAATATACCTTATTATGTAATTAAAGTGGATGCTACTCTTAGATCTCAAGAGGAGGCAGAATTTCAGCTAATGAGTTTTTGAGCCCCTCCTTGTTATAGAGTCTGCGAGTGAAGGAGATGAGTGAGTCTGCTAGAATTCACTCTGGCCAGTTATTTGTGACTTACACAGTCACTGTGAATTTTTCAACAAACCTCTCTAAGGACTCTCTGTAATAGACCTAGACTAGGAAAGGAAAGTGTTGCATGTAAGACATCAAGATAAGATAAGAAACAGTATTAAAACCTCAACTGTTCCAGTACACTATAACTGTTGCATTGAGGATTTTGGCACACTTAAAGATGTGATCAACGCTGATCAATCTGTAGATAAAGATATAGTCTGGTGCAATCTCAGACTTGCAATGCATACAAAGCCACGACCGTGTCACAACATAAAGGTCAACGCCATCATGCAATCTGCCGCTGCTCTATTTATTTTGTATTTATAGCCAAACAATCTTCTGATAAGGTAAGTGTGGTGAACTCTAAACAATCACAGTCATAAGTGGTCATTACTGATAAATGTCCTCTTAGAGCACTGGTCTCAAACTCAATTCCTGGAGGGCCACAGCTCTGCACAGTTTAGCTCCAACCCTAATCAAACACACCTGATCCAGCTAATCAAGCTCTTCAGGATCACTAGAAACTTCTAAGCAGGTGTGATTTGGAGCTGGTTGGAGCTAAACTCTGCAGAGCTGTGGCCCTCCAGGAATTGAGTTTGAGACCACTGTCTTAGAGTGATGTTATGGGTGAACACACAATTGTAAGGCACGACAGCAAATAGGGGCAGCAGAACTAACTTTTTCTGAGAAAAAAGGTGGCATACATACTGGTGTATATATGTATGCTTTGTACACATGCACACCCACGCAGCATGTGGTTAGGAAGCTGGGGGTATACATATGCATATGACAAACAATGTTGCCAACGCAGCGATTTTGTTACTAGATTTACATTAAAATCTACCTGCCTTTAGCAACTGCCCCTGAAAGTTAGTATAACCTAACAGTCCAGCTGTCTTATCAGCAAAATGTTAAAAAGAACATGTTTCAGTACTAAGGGGCTTATGGTTTTTAAATGGCAAATTTGCAGCCATCTCAGTGTATGATCATTGTATTAGATCAGAGAACTTCAGGGGAAATGATATAACTAAAATAATTTGTTTGCAAATGTTGTTTTATTTGGTGTTTTGTTATATAATGCTAATGCATTCATGTATTTTATTTTTTAAGAAGTTAAAAGTTATAACCTGATCTGCCTAAGGTCTATAAATCATTTTCGTACATGCAGGAACATCTGAAAGCTTTTTTGTTGATTTGCAGAGGTTCGTGTGACCTGCATCTTCTCTAAGGACTGTATTCTTCCCTGTTCTTTCACGCCCACTAATGGTGATGTGAAGATCCAGTGGTTCCAGCAGGAGGCGCTCATATTCAGTTTACAGCCGGCGGGACAGAGGTTCAACCATGGCAACATGTCTCTGTTCAGCGACTGCGTCTCTGAGGGAAACGCATCACTGCTTGTGAAACAAGTGGATACGAGGAGTAAAGGACGCTACAAATGTGTGGTCAACAATGTAACTGTGACATATGTTGTTGCAACAGTGGAAGGTTTGTTTCTTGGAGGAATACTTTGATTTATTTTAAATGTATTATTTGTAATTAGTAGTTGTTGGCGAGAGGTTAGCATAGTTAAAGATTTTGATTCATCCCACACATTTTTTATGGTGTGAATCAGTTCACTAAAAAGATTCATTCAGATTCGTTGTATGATTTTTTAGAGTGAGTGCCGAGTGTTTTTGTGTATAATGAGTGAGTCATCGATTCAAGTCGACCCGAACAGGTTAATTTGTTAAAATGTTCTCAGCTTCGTTTATTTACGTAGGCTACAATATGCCCCAGTTCATTCGAGGGGCGTCGCAAGACTCTATTGAAACACAAGCCCCAGTATAATATTATTGGTAAATCCTTATGTCAGTGGAGATTACCTGATAGTAGTTTTCCCTGATAATATTCATGTCGCGCGCGTGTGTTTTCTATCGCGAATGAATCACTCTTTTGAATCAAACGGATTTCCAAAAAGGTTCGCGATTCAGTTTGATTCATTCGGACAGTTCACTCACGCTCTGAATCGTCTTTACATTTTTATTTTTGTATTTTTATTATCATTTGTTGCTGAATTGCGAATGCTTTTAGCTTCTTTTATTTAGTTAGCTGGCAGTTTTTTTTTCTTTATCTGAAGCACAAAAAATCTGCAGTGATTTTCTTTTTAAAAAGAGCAATATCTGTTAGATAGTTGTTTTTTTTTAGGAAAGTTGATTAGCACTCTTAAGCTAATAAAACCTGATAAAATTAGGAAATATTTAATGGCCGAGTCTGATCTGACAATGGCGGAATTTTTACTAATTAATTATTAATAATTTAATTAAATCATTTTTTTTACAATTAAATTTAACATTTGTAATTTTTAAACTATTACTTTTGTAGATTATTTAATTGTAGAACAAATCTTTATCTATCTATCTATCTATCTATCTATTTATCTGTCTGTCTATCTATCTATCTATCTATCTATCTATCATTTATTTTTCATTTGATGTCTTCCAGCTCCCATCAGGACAGTCTCCATTGACATCAATCCCTCTGGGCTGATTCAGTGCTCTACTAAAGACGTCTATCCAGCACCGCTTATCTATCTATCTATCTATCTATCATTTATTTTTCATTTGATGTCTTCCAGCTCCCATCAGGACAGTCTCCATTGACATCAATCCCTCTGGGCTGATTCAGTGCTCTACTAAAGACGTCTATCCAGCACCGCTGGTGCAGTGGAGCACAGAACCCAGGTTAAGCCATGCCCTGCAGCCCATCACCCGCATGGCTCCTGGCGGAAAGAGTCTCTTTACAGTAGAGAGCATCCTAAAACAGCAAAACAACAGCCTTGATTATATTTATGTGTGTAACATCACCTCTAAATACGGCACGCACACACGGACAGCTTCTTTACAGCTGCAAGGTAAAACTTGATCAAGTTATAATGTGCAAAAAAGTGATATATGCTGCGGTATGTTTTAAAGGTGATAGTACCAATGTTTTCTCATGTACATCTCAGAAATTACCGGCTCTGAAGGGAAAGACCTGGTTATTCCATGTAAGGCTCCTAAGAAACTTCAGTCCTTCTCTCTCGTCTGGACTTTTACGACAGCAAACAAAACCACAGATATCCTCACGTACGACAGCCGGACTCATAAATCCAGAAGCTTGTGGGATAATGCAGAATTAGAGGAGGACAACGCATTGAAGGGGGACGTTTCACTAACCCTGGAGAACACTGTTGGCTCAGAACATTCTGGATTCTACACATGTGCCTTCTCAGGAGCAGAGACACGGCATCTGATACAGAGCCGTGTTGTTATTACATCCGCCAGGCAGGAGAAAGGTATCCACTGATCCATGAACTCATCCATCCATTAACTGATCTGTTGGACCAAACCTAGAACTCATTTCCTGCCAAAACATTGTGGCAGTGTACGTTTTAACAGCAACATCTGTCTTGAATGAACACTTCTGTTCTCTTTTTTTCTCTGTAGATTTTGTTAGATATAATCTGTGGATGTTGGGTATCGTCGCAGGATTAATCGCTCTTCTTGCTCTCACTTTAGTTGTAAAAAGATACAGAGGTAATAATGTGAACAGAACTCAATCCATAATAATTCATCTGCATAAGAATGTTTATTGGTAAAGGGATAGAGTAGTTCACACAAAAATTAATATTTTGTTTATGTGTGCAGCAAAATCAAAAAGAAATCAAGAAAGCGCTCAAGAGGATGCGGAAATGCAACGCATGAACCCAGGTATAGTCCAGTCATCTTAATAATTAATTAATCATATAAGATCCCAGCCATGTAAATTCCATATAAATTAAACTGACTGTTTTCCTTTTGTCTTTCATAGACAAAACATCAGAAGAGCCACAAGCCGGAAATAAACTGATGACACAGCCTTCAGCTTCTCACAGTTAGAAGAAGAAAAGGATAATGAGAGGGAAACCAGTATGAAATACAAGATGGAAGACCAGTTAATGGGACTTTATTTCTATGCAGTCTGATTATTTGTGAGAAACAATTTGTCATCCAGGAAAATGACGAGAAAATGTTTGATGTATTTTTAATGGTACTTTGATTTAAATATTTTTCCATAATTTATTCTGAAAAAAAAGTAAAATATTAAAAATATATATATTATTTGTCTGTATTTTATTATTCATTTTCCATAAACCTCATACTGGCAATATAAATAGTAATTATTACACTACTGCTCAAATGTTTGGGATCAGTAAGTAACTCCAACATTTTGATTGGTAGTGTTTTTAATAATTATCATCTCTAATTAACCACAACATGACATATGCACGCACAGTCCACTTCAAGGTTTAAACTCAGTGATTTGTTCTTTTCCCTGGTTCTTTTTTCTTCATCCTCTCCTAAACTGTACCTGTTACATGGCCAGACCAGTTCTGGCCGCTATATGTCCACGCATGCACCAGCTGGTTAAACATTCACCGGTTTAACTGATGTCCACAAGGGTCTTTCTCTCCCCCTTTCTCACGCGCACATGCACTTGCACAGAGACACAGATCGTGGCATCTCAGAAAATTGACCAGAACGTGTGGCATATTCTGACTGTCATGGAACTGCTGCGTCTGTGTGCTGCATTTCTGCTTTTTCTCAGGACTTGGGTATCTGGTATCATCATTACTAAAGGTAAGGCCACATACACGCTCATTTTTTAGATTAATTGTTTCTCCTCTAAGGGAAAAACGGAATGAAAAATGACCATCCCTGTCTTGTGGGGAAGTCTCTACATTTTTTTATGTTTTAGTTGCGTTTTCTTGAAGTATAAAATGTATACACTTAACATAAAAATACATGGATGTAAAATGCATATATTTATTTATATTATATCAAATAAATATATATAAAAATATAAAAAGTCTGTAAATGCTCTTTAATGTTTTAGTTGTGTTCATGTTGAAGTATAAAATGTTAACGCACAAGGTGTTACGGTAATGTATAATAGAATTGTTTAATTTATGATATTAAAATCTATTTGTACATGTAATAAGATGGAGATAAGTGAATATTTATTTTATTTTTATTGGTGCTTTTTTGTCCTTTTTTTCTTTTGGTTTTACATCTCTGTCATTTAAGTTGTTCAGCCGTAGCTGTTGGCTCAGTAAATGGATCAAAGCAGCACTTGTAGGAAACTCCATTAGTCTCAGATTAATGACCCTTGTGAAAGAGAACAATCTGTGATTCATTTATGAGGAATAAGCAGCCTACAAGTAAATAGCAATTTAAATTGTAGGAACAACAGATTGTAGGAAAACAGGCCATTTGAGCAAAACAACAGGTTAACTAATACATTTTTATGTGCAAATGTTAATTTGCCATTGTTCGTCACAAAGCCATTTTAAACCAAGGCAACCAAACTCTGTTGTGAGACTGATATCTGTTGAGAGTACGAATATAGGCCTGTATTTTTGCAAACAAAGCAATATTGAACTTTACATTGCAATTACAGTACATGAGAAACTACATGACTAGTTGTTTATCTTTAAACTGATTTTGAGTCGAATTCTGAGGCTTTACATGTGCTGGTCTCGCTCTAGATGCACATGTAACATGTCTGTTCTATGAAGACTGCGTGCTGCCCTGCAGTTTCAAGCCCACGGGAGCCGTGGTCATCCACTGGTACAAGCAGCAGATCCCTGTCCACAGCTACTACTACAATAAAGACCAGTACGGCCTCCAGAACAAGCATTTCAGCGGCAGGACCAACTTGTTTAATTCCCAGATCGCACAGGGAAATGCCTCTCTGGTGCTGAGGAAAGTGAAAGTCCAGGATCAAGGGAGATACAAGTGCTACACCAGCACCAGGAAGGGAAACCAGGAAACCTTCGTTAACCTGGGGGTCAAAGGTCAGTAACAGGGTCACAGATTTGTCATATTTTTGAGTTTGCTTGGGTTATTTGTGTTGTCGGATGTAAAAAGCTACGTTTCAGCTAAGTGTAAGAACTACAGTTCTGTTAGTCATCTACTGTAAAATTAATTTAGACGTTTTATCTTAAAGGGGTCATATGATGTTGCTAAAAATAACATTATTTTGTGTATTTGGTGTAATGAAATGTGTTTATGCGGTTTAAGGTTCTAAAAACACATTATTTTCCACATACTGTACATTATTGTTTCTCCTCTATGCCCCGCCTTTCTGAAACGCGTCCGGCATTATGCTAATATTTCCACATAGTGACGTAGACATGTGGGGGCGTGTTAGAACGAGCCGTTTTAGGTAGGCGTGGTTGACTCTTAACTTTTATAAAGAATATCTCTTTGGATTTGAGACTTTAGTCTTTGCAACTTTACAGATCTTCTTTATGCACCAAGAGCTTGTAACACTCCAAAGAGAAAGGACAAATTGAAATCGCATCATATGACCCCTTTAAGGACTGGCGGCCACAAGCGGGCGCTAGGGGTTCTATGGAAAAGGCAAATGAATAACACTGATGATAATAATAATAAATAAATGTTGTCTAATAGATACTGTTTCGTCTGGGTTATAAACCCTAGTCGGAAATAACTAACAAATGAGATTAATCACAAAGTATTTGATTCTATTGATAGATAAGACAGTATTAAACAGTATTGAGAGATAAGACTTAAATTAAGTATTAATTTAATAGAAGTAATTTCTTACTGTGTATTTTTTTTATTTAAAATATATATATTTTTTTTTTTTACGCATTCTTTCTCCAGTTTTGTTTATTGGTTTTAAGTGCAAAAAAGTGTTAACTATAAATAAATATTTTGCACATATTTTTATACTGTAAAAATTAGACATTGTACGTGAAAATACATAGCTGCCTTATACATTTTTATTCAGGTTTGATTATTTGGTTTTAAGCGCTAAAGAGTGTTAACAATAACAAAGCATAGATAAATATTTTATAAATATTTAAAAATATGTTTTGGTTACCAAAAAAAGGGATTAATCACAAAGTATTTTATTCTATTCACAGATAAGACACAAAACACAGTACTTATTTAATATAAAAGTTTTTTCTGTTTTACACATATTTTGTAGGTTTGTTTACACATATTTTAAAATATTTTTATACTGTAAAAATTAGACGTCATACGCAAAAATACATAGCTGCCTTACACATTTTTTTCTCCAGGTTTGTTTATTGCTTTAAGAGCAAAAAAGTGTAAACAAATAATATTTTTATACTGTAAAAATGAAACGTTATATATGAAAATATATAGATAATTTTATATTTGTGGAAGCCCATTTATACCAGTTATTTTCTATAGGCCGTTAGATTTAATTTGGCTATGAAGAGTTTTTTGAAAACTTAGTGTAATATTTCATTAAAATACATGTAGATAAGATAATGTTTATTGTCATTTACATAGCAATTTCTAATCACTATAGATATATATGTATAGATTGTATAAGTTTGTATAGACCAAGTTCACATACCAACTAATCAATTCATTTTAATTGTAATACTCCCAAATAAGGATACAATCAAACTTATGTTTAGATCAATTAGATAATCTTACGTTTTGATAATTTTATGTGGTGCGTTTTCTGTCACGCTTAGCCCTGATCCAGTTTGTGAAGATTGAGATGGTTGAGGAACGGGTGATCTGTCTGTCCCAGAACATCTATCCGGCTCCTGAGGTCACGTGGGCCACTGATCCCCCTACTGACTCCAGAAGCCTCCAGAACTTCACGCGTAAAACCTCGGACTCCAAGGGCCTGTTCACCATCGAGAGCAGTATCAGCATGATAGGAAACACCTCAGATCATACTTACTTCTGCTCTGTTGTGTCCGCGGATGAAATGCAGGTGTGGACCGCATCGCTGCATCACCAAGGTAACTGCTTACTGAAACACAGATGGTCAAGAAAGGTGTTTGTTACAAAGTTCAAACAGCTCTTTGAATCATTTGAATCTTTCAGATGAGTTATTCGGTGAGGAGGGCTCTGGACTCTTGGTTCCCTGCATGGTGCCACAGCCTCGCCACAATTTTACCCTCACCTGGACCTTCATCAGAACCACAGAATCCATCGTCATCTTCACTTATGATAGCCGGACCCGTCGGATCGCGAACCTGTGGGAAAGTAAAGCAGAACTTGACATAGATCAGGCTCATTTAGGCAACGGTTCCCTTCATCTGCTGAATCCAGACAGCTTGGGACACAGTGGTACCTACATTTGCACATTCTACGGCTTCCAGATGAGACATCAAGTCCAAACTCATGTCAATATTACAGTTCGTGTGACTGGTGAGATTTACTTCATGTCAAAAAAAACAATTACTTTGTGTCTTTGAACGATTGGAACAGTCGTTATGAATGTTAATTCATAATACTATATATTTTTTCCCAGATGATGATGAGTATGACTGCAGAAGGTCATGGTGGGGAACTGCTGCATCTGTCTTCATATTTCTGATCACTGTCTCTGTAGCCCTGTCGCGATGTTTTAGATTGAGAGGTACTTTTTTAATAATATAAAAATATATATTTTTATAATATATATTATTATAAAATAAATATTTAAAAAATATAAATAATATATATCTTATTATGCATTGTTTATATATTATCATATATGATATTATAGGAATATATCATAAAATGTTCCAATGTATTTTGTGTAATATTTTTATATATGTATTTAAGTAATATATTATTGATAACAAAAATATATATACTTTACATGTTACTCTTTTTTTTCAAAATATACATATGTAATATTTATCATATGTAATATTATAATATATTGTAGGAAATAAGATATTTTGTGTAAATTGTTACACAATATATTATTAAAAGCAATTTTAATTTAGCTTTTGTAATAACATTTTAAAATAAACATTTTGATAGCTGTATATATTACATATTACAACAATATATTATTGAAAATTTTATATATTATTGTTACACAATGAATGTTTTCACACAATATATATCTATATGTAATATTTAGCATATTATAATATATAAAACATTCTAATATATTTTGTGTAAAATTACACAATATAATATTATTAAAAGCAATTTATTTTCAGCTTTTACCTTATATA